CCAATCTGACAGAACTGGAGAGGATCTGCAAGGAGGAATGGCAGAGGATCCCCTGAAAAACTTGTTGCATCTTTCCCAAAAAGACTCATGGCTGTATTAGATCAAAAGGGTGCTTCTACTAAATACTGAGCAAAGGGTCTGAATACTTAGGACCATGTGATATTTCAGTTTTTCTTTTTTAATAAATCTGCAAAAATGTCAACAATTCTGTGTTTTTCTGTCAATATGGGGTGCTGTGTGTACATTAATGAGGAAAAAAAATTTACTTAAATGATTTTAGCAAATGGCTGCAATATAACAAAGAGTGAAAAATTTAAGGGGGTCTGAATACTTTCCGTACCCACTGTATATATATATTTTTTTATTTATTTATTATTTTTTTTTTTTCAAAGGCTTGGGAGCTAAAACCCTCCATATGGCTGTATTGACTTGCATGTCTCTGAGGGGAGAGGACAGACCCCTGTTCAACAGATTAGAGTGTGTGTAGCATATGGGTAAACAGGCAAAATGCTGTGATGTTTTTATAAAGGCCAGAGGTGAAGAGCATCTGAGTTCTGTGTCTGTGTTTGCTCTTTGGTTGAACAATTGTAGGGAGTCTGAATATGTCTGGGTCATTTTTGCTATGCAGTCTTTCCCATTATATACTATATAAAATATATTTTTTATATATTTTATAAAAAATTTTAAAGATGGAAATTATATTAGTTAGTAGGGATGTTCATTTCGGTTATTTTTCCTAACTGACAACCGCCGCTCGTTAAATGATTATTAACCGTTAACCGGCAAGATTATTTTAAATTAGAATTGAATTAAATTAGAAATGATAAATGTCTGTGTCCCGTTAAAAATACTAACATTTGTTTTCCGGGGATTAATTGTACATGCGCAAAAAGCAGCAAACAACAGAACATGAGGATTCACATAGTCATATCATATCACATCACGCACCTGCAACGCTTCTGCGAACGGAGAATATATATATAGGCTATATATAATGAATAAATAGGCCTATACTAGAAATATATTTTTACTTAAATAATAAATTAAGAAAACGAAAGAAAAAAATGTGCAACAAGTAGCCTAGTATGCAGAGTTTCGGTTCATTTTCATGCTGTGCAAAAGGAAACCAAGACGACAGAAAACGGCATCCTATTTTTCTTTAGGCCTGTTTTACAAAAGCACAAAGATTTGTTTGTATTGTGAATGTACACAAATAAACGCAAACCTTTTACAATTCGTATTATCTTAATGACTAAAGGAGTAGTTGCTTCTACTGTTAGAAGGAAAAAATTCAAGTGATTGCTCCGGTGCCGCAAGCGCGCACACAGTTAAGCTTTGCTACCTTGACAATAGTGCAGCCTGTTCATTATTATAATAAAATACAGTCAGTCACACATATGGAAAAAAACACACTGCTCAGTTTAAATATGTAGTCAAATCTGTGCCGTTAAGCGTTATCACCATATCGTCATGATGTTATGCAAAACATTTTGTTTCACGAGGATATTGGAACGCCAGTGAAGTAGGCTACATAATAATATTTTGGCATTCAAATAGATTGAATATGGAAACATTTGTTTTTGTCGAATGAGAGACCCAGCGTTGGTTTCAGTTTTGTTTTAGCCTAAATTAATTCATTTTGGATTGTCGTTTATATAGCTATAGCTTCTTATATTTTTAATTCTTGTTCATTTATAAATACTGTTAAATGGAAAGGATTTGTTGTGAGGGGAGGTTAGGAGTGAGGGGAACTAAAATAGCCTAGCTATGTTTACAGTGTTTATTATAATGTTTGTAAACATTTCGTGTTGGCATTAGGCCTGAATGAAATAATAAAATGCGACTTATATGCGATTGTTTTTTTTCTCTCTAAAAATTTTTTTTATTCATGTAGTGTATTTTAGCCATGCCATAGAAACCTTTTAAAATATTTTGATAAATTAGACCCACTGAAAAATAAATAAATTACTTTTTAAACCGTTTAACTGATTGTAATAATCGGTCAAAATTATTATGGCTGGTTAACGGTTAACCGGTTAAAATGAGCATCCCTGTTAGGGGATATGTTCAACATAATAGTGAATCTTAAATAATTTAATTACTTTGGTTACCATTTTTGCCATGCCACCTGTTCCTTCTAACATAAAAAACGGGTTTAATATGAAATGCTCAATCCTTCTCTGAGTAATGGCTAACTTACTTTAGCTTTTTATTTCCATCCTGTGAAGTTCCATCCTGTTTGAAATCCTCTTAATAGTCTTGGCATTGTGTTAATAATCAAATTTAAGTGCCTGAGCTTAACCAGATTTGTTTTTTGAAAGTCTGGCAAACTTTATAGAAATACCTGTTTCAATAACAAGAAAATCATATTCGTTTTTTTCCCCAAGTTACTTATGAGTTACTACATAACAAAAATGAGCCATCTTCTGTTTCTCTTAAGCACTTGTAATCACAGCTGCTACAGGGAAATGGAGGAAAGAAATTGTTGGAATATAAGAGTTAACATCTATCTCTGTGTAAAGATTGACCTGATTGATCGTGAAGGTGAACTGAAGAAAGCTGAGCTCTGTGTCACGGTGGAAATAATCTAAACATAGCTGAACATCCTCCAAATAAAAACAAATGATGCACTGACCTTTCTGTGCTCAAAATCCTGTTACAGCCATATATCATATGCTGGCCTACCCTGCCTACACAGCTCAATAAAGTGTGTGTTTATTTCTGCTAACTTAACCTTAATACCGATTTATTGATTTGTATTTTATGTTTTTTTTTATAAACCTGTCAAGGCCAACTGGACACAGGAAAGACTTTTGAACCTAAAGTCCATTATATAACCTCTCTTCTCTTCCTTATGGCTCTTTTTAGACTGTGCAGGTTGTAAGGAGGAGATCAAACAGGGTCAATCTCTGCTGGCGTTAGAGAAACAGTGGCACGTCAGCTGCTTCAGGTGTCAGACCTGCGGCCTGGTCTTGACGGGAGAGTACATTAGCAAGTGAGTGAACACTCCTTCTGTTGACCTGCTGGCTTACTTTCAGCCACACATTGTGTTGCACAAAGCAGCCTCTTTTTGTGTTTGAAACCAGTCTGTTCATTTAATAAATATTTAATAGCAATTTCCCTAATATTTTACACATTCCCTTCCAGTAATAGGCCTTTGTATCATTTGTATACATGGATATAAAATATGTGGATAAATATACAATTCAGAAATTTGTGTGAACACTCTCTCACTATATATACACTACCGTTCAAAAGTCATGTGACACTAAAGACTTGGAGTAGTGGTGCTAAAAAAAATGTTTTATATTAAAATAGAAAATAGTTCATTTAAAGGGTCATGAAACCCCAGACTACTTTTTCTGAGATTTTAGCAGAGGTGTTTGTGTTGCACATTATAGAAGACAATGTTAGCATCCGATCATTTTAACTGTTTGAGAAAACTGGTTAATTTTAAGCATTTTTGCACTATTTTCATCTTCCGGGTTTAAAATCTACATCATGTTGACGTCACAATTTGTGACGTGGCAAAGGACTATAGTACATCGATGACGCGTCTGTGTCTATTAAATTATTCATGAGACTGCGTGTTCTTATCCTATGAGAAGAAGCTTCACTTAATTATTCACAACAACATGTGTTGATTTGCTATGACAGACGCTTCAGACTGTGAGATCACATACATTAACTGAGAGAAACGTTCATGGATCGAAGGAAGGAGAGCGTTTGTTTTTGCTTTGTAATAAGAGTTCGGCACAAACGCGATTCATTCACTTAGTGAGTGTAACCGTTTTTACAGCTCCGTCAACACTCCGTAAACTCCGTTTACACAAGCCATCAAAAGGCTTATATAAACGCTGCAGAATAAGCCTTCGGTTATCAGAGGTGCAACTGTGCATTCATATGTTTTCGATGCAGAGTGCAAATGGTTGTGCATTTATTTGTGTTTTTAACTCGATGGGAGTGAAATGAAACTGTCTGAACCCGAAGCTGTGTGTGTTGTCTGTCTCCCCTCTTCCCACTCCGCTCCACTTTTTTAGCATTTTTTAAAACTGTAGTGAGAACTAACCAGTGCTGAAACAGGGTGTTTCATGACCCTTTAAATAGTGATAAGAGTTCACAATATTACTGTTTTATTGTATTTTTGATCAAATAAATGCAGGCTTGGGCATAAGAGATTTCTATCAAAGACATTAAAAAGCCTTACGGACCCTAAACTTTTGAACGGTAATGTATATGCATATAAACTTGATTTACTGATAAGCAGGTGCTCCTGTTGTGGACTTTTGTGACAATAATAATAATGATAGTCACAAAGGTCATGGTTTTTCCGGTTTTGTGAAACCTATGCACCTGTATTTTATTTTTAGTAATGGTATAAGAATGTGATTATTCATGTGAGTCTTAATTTGCATGCAGAGACGGCATTCCTTACTGTGAGTCAGACTACCATGCCCAGTTTGGGATAAAGTGTGAAACATGCGACAGATACATCAGTGGACGTGTGCTGGAGGTGAGTGTACATCCCACCACAGGACCAGTGTCCAATAGACCCCCCAACTCAGACTCTCAGCCAGGAACCCCCAATACAGAAAAGTTAGATCTGCCTATTATATTATACCTTACAATGCAATTTAAGAAATTGATACTTTTAATTAGCAAGGATGCATTAAATTGATCAAAATGACAGTAAAGTAATTTATAATGTCATTCTTGCTGTTCCTTTGAATTTCTATTCAGTAGAGTACTGAAAAAACCTATCAGGGTTTTCACAAAAATATTAAGCAGCACAACTGATTTCAATATTGATTATAAGAGACTTTCAAAAGCATAAAAAATCAGTAACACTTTACTGAAAGCCTTTATTTATAATGCATTATAAAGGGTTAATAGATGGTATAATGCATTATAATTATTCATAATGTGCGTTGTAATACATTATTTCTTGTAGAAAATAATTATAAATGAATTTAAAATGCATAGTGTAACAATGAATTGATAAGTGTCATCATGTGCCATATTTACCGTGTTTACAATTATTCATGAGATTGCATGACTTTAAGTAAAGTGTTACCAAAAAATCTTACTGACCCCAAACTTTTGAGTGGTAGTGTAGTGTTATTTATTAGAAATGTAATGAAAGTTTCATTCATGTCTACAGACCCCCTGTTAAATACTTTTGTGGACTTCCTGTAGAGAACATTGAACTTGAGCAATTGACTCATTACTTATACACATATACTATAGTAGTTATTTGTGATGAGTGTCTCGTCTTTGATTGCTATTGACTCTGAATTACCTCAGAACTCTGCTGAATAGACAGCGATTACATTGAGTTGTACCTGAAAAGAACATGAATTGATCTATCAAGCAGGCCAGGCAGGAAGCCTCCATTATAAAAAGATCAAGGGCTAAGAATGAGGAGATGGATTAAGAAGCCCAGACAGACGGGGGAATAAAACCACTATTTGAAGCACTCTTCCCTCAGAAATACACACTCTTTTCTCTCTAACCCTAACAACGCTTTCACCATTTATGGTTAACAGACAGCAAAAAATACACCTTGGAGAGACTAGTAGAGGATAACATTTTGAGAAAATAAACAAGTGAGGACTATCACTGTTACTATTGCTTCTGATATTTATTTTTCTCGGCCTTCCTCCAAAAATATATATATGTATTGTATGGTAATATAATATTTATATTAGTATTAAAAAATGTAGTTGAAGTTTATCACAGGTGGTTGGAAATGGAGCGCTAAACGTTCAGACCCCTTACCAGTAATGTTTCAGTGGGTAGTTACTGCGGGAATGAGTGATAGAGCTCATCAAGAGCCAGTAGGCTGCCCTGCCTTTAGTTTTCTTCCCCTGTGGCTTGTCCTTCAGAGGAATGGCCTAATATTCTGGCCTTTGACGCTTCATAAGCAAGAGTGGTTATTTTGGCAGGTACCCCTGGCACCCTTTCTTTTGTTGACTTGCTATTTTCTGACACTCCTGAGTAGGGTTGTGGAGTCATGGAGTTGGAGAGAGAGACAGAGAACGTGAGAGACTTTTAGTAATGTGACAGTCGCAGGGGAAGTGAAACATGATGAGGTAGTTTACATACAAATAAGAAAGGAGATAATTTGCCAGCTGAGAGTTCCAAAGCTGATGAAGCTTAATGCTAATACACACGCATTTGAAAAACATTTGAGTCTGATTGTGTACTCGCACACACTAACTCATTGCTGTTTGCTCTTATCCCAGTCTGAGTGGCTAGTGTGAAGTGCTCCATGTTCCAGCGAGAGCTCAAGTCAGGTTATTTATAGCTATTGGGACACAGGCTGATTTATCTTTATCTGCCTGTATGATTTGCACTCATTCCCCCTGGGAGACACCTAGTAATACCACATGCCTCTGAACACTTAGAAACTGACAGCTTGCTGATTCCTGGAGCAGTGACAGCATACACTATGTCTCTAGCTCATAAACTGGCCTTCTTTTGCCACCTGCTCTGTGCCTCCTCTCGAATATGCCCCTTTCTTCTCAGGGCTTCCTAATGAGACATTTGATGTATTTACGATATTTGTCTATGAATAGCAACTGTCATACTAGTCTAAGAACTTACATTTTCGATACATAATGGTCAGTTATTTTGTTTGTCGTTGTTTTTCTGATGTGAATAGTTTTAAAGAAAGCCACAGAAGAACAGTGGTGGAAGAAGTACACAAATCAAGTACTTGAGTAAAAAAGTACAGATACATATAATAAAATATTACTCAAGTAAAAGTACTCCTTTTTCAATTTTACTCGAGTGAAAGTACAAAAGTACTCGATTTTTTATGTACTTAAGTAAAAAAGTACTGATAGATAGATTTATTTAGCAATTTTATATAGGCTACTTAATTAAATTTTATATTAGCACATATTTTTTATAATCCTACTGCTCAAAATATCTGGGATTTTCCCAAAATAACCACTATATTGAGTCGAGATATATTTTTGTTGTTGATGTTGTAATGTTCACTATGAAGCTTACACTGCAATGTACCTGAGAGAAAAAAGTTAATATTGTTAGCTGATGCTAACTGTCTAGCTAACAAGCTTGCTGGTGCTAAGTTGAGGTAATTTTTAGATATAAAGTCCAAATATTTTTATTCAACCACCTAGATAGAATACATCTGGGGGAAAGAAAGGATGTGATGTTCAGAACATGGTAACTACAGTAATTATCAAAGTGGTAAGTAATGCTCTCTGGGGGCATTTGGCCAGGGGTGTTTTTACAAGACAAGGTTTGAGAAGAAAAAAATCATTATGAAAATATAATTATATTTTCCTTAAAATGTTCTTCCTAACTTCAGGCCTTATTCTCATGTCATATATAACTGTGATGTTCTGCAAAACAACAAGCTTTAAAACACTTTTTTCTTACTGGTGAAAATCAGA